CCCGGGTCAGCAGGAAACCAGAAACTGCCATGCAGGAAAAAAAAACTGCAACGCATGTCTGCGCAAACCCGGGTCAGCCAATACGAGCGGCCGCCTCGCGGCCACGAGCGGCTCGCTAACCCGGGTCAGCCAGAGGGGGCCTTCGCAGGATCCTGGAGGACCTGGCGCCCTGGCTGACCCCCGTTTGCACTGACCCCTGTCTCTTAGGCCCCGAGCGATGCCAGGCAGAGGGGGTCCGGCCCCGACCCCGCCGCGGCCCGCGCCTGTCGGGCCAGCTCCCGCCGCCGCGGGAAGGACGCGGAGACCTCGGCGTGCGCGCGGCGGGCGCGGCGGCGCGGCGCCGCCCCGAGGGGCCGAGAGGCCGAGGCAGGCCACGGGCAGGGGCGCCGGAGCCTCCCTCCCTCCCCGCCGGAGCCTCCCCCCTCCCTCCCCTCCTCCCCTCGCCGCCTCCCTCTCCCCCTCCCCTCCCTCCTCCTCCCTCGCTCCCTCCCTCCCTCCCTCCTTCCCTCCTCTCTCCTCCACCTCCCTCTCTCCCTCCGCGTCCCTCCCTCCCCCCCTCCCTCCGTCCCCCCCTCCCCCCCTCCCACACTCCCTCCCTCCCTCCCTCCCGCCCCCCTCCGAGGCGGTCTAGGAAGGTTCGAAGCTGCTGCGAAGGGTGCACGATACAGCACAGCCAGCCCTTAGCATACCCGTCGGTCGGGAGAAGTAGGCAGAAACGTGAAGCAGGAAGGCGATGAAGGCTAGATTGGGTGTCCGCCCGCCCCCTAAAGAGGATGGAAAAGAGGAAGCCACTCGATCATTGAAGTAGGAAGGCGCTCAAAGTAGATTGGAATCTGGAATCCAAAAATACCTACTTAACGACCGATGGGTGAGGATGCGCGGTGAGGACGCAAGGGTCTTGGAGTGCCAGAGGATGGCCAGGGAGAGTCGCTGAGGATGGGCCGCAGGGGCAAGGATGCCAGGGTGCCCTTGGGAAGGTTGTTCATCCTTACCATGCGGGTTACTGCAGTAGCTCGACAACAAGAGACCTTCCACAAGAAGCCCAACCCTGAGACCCCAAGGCGTCCATGGCTCTTTGGTGAGGGAACGCCAAGCTTTCCGTCGCAGAACAATCGAGACCCAAGAAATCCAGGGCACCCTGGAATCAAGCAGGGTGTTTCATGACATGGGTTCCAGTGTAAATTTAAAACTGATGCTACGGATGCGAGATACGGATGCAGGGGCCTCGAATTGAGGGATGACAGAAACGCCCCGACCTGGGTTACAAGTGCGCTGTCTGTAAACCTCCTGGAGGCTCCCAAAGGCCAGAGAGCCGCCAGGACGCCGCGCGACACGCGCGATACGCAGGGTTTCCCCTTGTCAGCCCAGAGGAGGTTCAGCGCACAGCGCCTCGCAAACCAGGGCAGGGGCGTTTTTACGCCCTGATTGGACGCCCGTGTTGTAGCTTTTCGGGCGGGGCAAGTGGTTGAGGATGGACATACGAAGACCAAAAGGGGCAAGGATACAAGGGTACACATGGAAAGTCGATCATCCCTACTCACAATTTTCAATGTAGGTGTCCTCGAGAATTGCTGACATACCACACCCTTCCCGCTTCAGACAGACGCCACCGTCCAGCGCTGCGCTTATTAGGCAGAAGCCACTGCACTGCCAAGGGAGGGAGTTATTTTATACCAAGCCCATGACCAGGACCGCCGCGCACGCACCCCTGCTTGTGGGTGTAGTGCCAGATGTTCTAGGGAGGAAGATGGGGTCGAAAGATCGCGCCGCATCCCCGATGCATCCCCCGTGCATCGCCGATGCACTGGCGACGTCGTCGATGCATCGGCAGCGTCGGCGTGAGAAAATCTGGCTCCACATCGGGCCGCATCGCCCATGGCATCGGCGATGCAGCGAGATACTCGGACCCGATCTACGCCGGCCCTGAGGATCACCATCGCTCGGACGTCCTTCGCTGCGTGAGTTTGTCTTGCCAGGTGACCACGCATGCTCCTCGATGGTCCTTGCCGAGAAAACATGCATACGTCTGAACGATGCCAGGGAAGAGGGAACGGTACCGATGCCGCTGCCATTCCCGCGTTTGGGCCCTTGGTGGGGCCGCCTGGGACGCCCTCCTGGCCACGGCTGGACTCGCCTCCAGGTTCTGGCCAGAGCACACCCTCCACAAGAAACCCAACCCTGAGACCCCAGGACGTCCATTGCCTTTTGGTGGGAGGGACACGCACGCTTTCCATGGCAACACCATCGAAACCCAAGAAACCCTGGCATCCTGGGTGCAAGCAGGGCGTTTCTTGGCACGGATTTCCACTATGTTCGGTATCTCTTGGTTTTGTCAGGAACAGGTCTGGTCCGCGCACTGATGGAGAAAAAAAACCTGGATTACTACTCTCGGGGACTCTCTCGGAAAGAAATTCTGATCCAGATTCCGAGGAGAATCCAACCGTGGCCACGAGAGCTCTCCAAGCTCCAAGACCAGCAGCGCTAGCGGTATCTGGTTCCCTACAAATCGGCACTGACCGACGACGGTCGAGGCTGGTCGACGCCAGTAGGCACCAGATCGACGCCAGTGGCACTGACCTGGCGCTTTCTCATCGGTTACCTGACGATAGCGCACGCGAATACACTCTGAAGACGGAATTGCGCGGACATGCAGGGTTTCCATCGTGTGCTACCGAATTAGATGGTCCAAGTTGCGCTAGGGATTGGTTCTGCCCTCGGAACGACCGAAACCTTCCCGAGACCCTCCTGGAAAGCTCTCCCCGAATGGGTCTGGGAGGCTGTTTCATTGGTTCTGGAAGGGTGTCAGGAGGGTCTTTGTAGATTTTCTTTGGGAAAAGAATTCCAGACGGAACCCTGGACCTCCTAGCTTCGGCAGACTCCGGCACATTTCACTTTCGGTGGCGCCAGTCTGTGCCGCAGTAGAGCACAAGAGGTTTTGGACGCTCTTGTCCCGATGATCAAAGATCGAGGACGAGGTCGAGGATTGTACAGGAGAGCAGCCTAGAATAGAATCGATAAACAAGATCGAATCGAACCGAATCGGATCGGATGAGTCGAAAGCGCGCCCCCTCATTATTCCAGACCTTCCGCCCGAACCTTCCGCCCCATTTTCGATAGATGCTCAATGCGGGCCGCCTCAAATTTCCGATGAGTTTCCGATGAGTGCTCATTACGCGCAAGGCTTCCCACGAGTTCCGAGGAGCTTTTGTCGCCTCTTCCACGGAGGGCGGAAGGCATGGAAGGTGGAGACAGAGGGAAAGGTCCGGGGGCCCGAAAAGGGCCCGAAAATGGAACCTTTCTTCCCCCCACTTAGCGCTCCCCCTAGAAGGCATGGAAGGTATGCAAGGCGGAGATGGAGGTCCAACTATGGGAAGTATCGATGAGCTGTCGCCTCTTCCGCGGAAGGCGGAAGGTGACATATGGAAGGCATGGACGTATCGCTCCCCCATCAACTCGCGCCTCAGAGGCCGGCGATGCATCGCCAATGCATCGGCGATGCACTGGCGATGCACGAGCGACGCCAGCGATGCATCGACGTCGGCGTGGACAAAATCTGGTTTCGCATCGAGCCGCATCGCCGGTGCATCGGCGATGCGGCGGGATCCGCCGAACCCATCTGCTCGGGCCCCATCAGAGAGGCCCAGAGAGGTGGTGGACGAGGAGGCCCGACAGTGGCACCTTTCCTTCCCCCCACCTGTCGCTCCCCCATCAACTCGCACCCCAGAGGTCCAGGGGTTGAGACCCACCTGGTATAGCTATACGTGTATACATATGTGTATGCAAGTATACACACCAGTAAACACAACCACACACACATGTATATCGGTGTATGTATGTACACATATACACATAGATGCATAGCTGCATACATAAATGCATGCATGCACGCATACATACATGCATACATGCATACATACACACATACATACATGCATACCTACCTACCTACATGCATGCATGCATGCATCCATCCATCCATCCGCATGCATGCATGCACATATATACATACATACAAACATACATGCATCCATACCTACCTACCTATCTACCTACCTACCTACCTACATACATACATGCATACATACATACATGCATACATACATGCATGCATAAATACATGCATACATATATACATACATACATGCATATATACATACATGCATTACATCCATACATACATACATACATACATACATACATACATACATACATACATACATACATACATACATACATACATACATACATACATACATACATACACACATGCATGCATGTATGCATGCATGCATGCATACATACATACAGACAGACATACACACACATACATGCACACACACAAAAACACACATACATATACGTATCTAAACCATATATGTATACACACACCCTGGAGTGAGACTGAATAATGAGGACGCACGAATGGGATGCAAGGGTCTCCGAAGGCCGTGCCGACACTCTGCGAGCGGGGCGCGGCCAGCGAAATCGGTCAAGGATGGGCCGAAAGGAGAGGATGCAAGGGTACCCGTGGGAAGGTTGCCCATCCTGACTATGCGGGTGGACTGTATATCAAACCACTGCTTTATGTGAAGGGGGAAACTTGAACCCATTTGTATGGATCCAGGGACCTCCGCGAGACCTCCGGCATGCTGGTCCCCCGGCCTATTCTCTGCCCTCTCCGGGGGCGTTCGCGCTCCCGGCGGCATCTCGTGCGACCCTCGGGGCAGTTCTTCTCTGGGCTCCCTGAGGGGCAACGATCGTGGGGACTGGCAGAAGGAGGGCAAACATCGACCTGGAATCAACGATACATCGCCGAGAGATCGGCGATAGGCCGCCGACAGCGAATCCGCACCTTCCTGGCGGGGTGGGGCTATCGGGACCCCATCAGCGATCAATGGGCGATTGGGGGTCAATGCCTCCCGCCCCGTGCCGGGTCCCGGGTCCCCCCCCCCATCGTTGCCCCTGGCTGGGGCACGTGCCCTTGCATGGATGTTCTCTTTTTGGGCGCCGCTGGTCTGTACACGCAGCGCGGAGTCCCAGCCCGACCCTGCGTCTGAGGGGCCGGGGCGGGGACCCCCCCCTCGGCCCCAGATCAGAGGCACCCTTTAGCGGGCGCCCACGGGGCTCTCGGAGCGAGAGGACGAGGAGTGGGAGCAGCGGGAGGGCCGCATGGGGGGGGGGGAGAGAAGAGCTCCCCCTCGCTGAACACAGGAGCCAACAAGGGAAGGCCGCGGCGCGGGGCAGCCGAGGGTGAGAGCCCTCCCCGCGGCAGGAGCCGCGGGGCTGCAAAGGCCCCCCCCCCCCGGCGCGGCCCCGCGCCGGCGACGCCTGAAATAACCGGGGGCGCATCGCGCCGTCGCCCGTCGCCTTCGGCCCCCCCCCTGCCCCGCGGGCGCCCTGTGCACCGCCCGTGGAGGGGGGAGGCCCCGGCCGATCAGCCGCGGCGCCCTGGCCCCGCTCGAACCCCGCCGCCCCCCATCGATGCCCACCGCTCTGCCCCCCCGCCCGGCAGGGAGCCCAATGCCTCGCCCTGGAGGCTCTCTCGAGGGCCAGCAGGCTGGCGCGGCCTGGCCTCCGGCACGGCAGCCGCCGGCGGCCAGCGACACCCCGCGCCGCGCGAGAGCGCGCTGCTGCTCACAGCCAAATGCTGAAGAAGTCGTCCTCGGCCGGCAGGCCGCCGGCCCTCGCCGGCGCGACGCGCGCGGGCTCGGGTGCCGCTTGCCGCCCTTCTGCAGGCGCTGCGCCGGCTCGCCGCCCCTCTGGAGGCACTGGTACAGGAACGCGTCCAGGTCCGCCGCGGCGACAGCGGTGCACGGGGCCGCGGGCTGCCCCGACGAGGGCGCCCAGCAAACGGCCTCTGGTGGCCTTGTTTTCCACCGCCACCACCATAAGTAGGAAGGGGAGGGGGTCCTCCTCCTCCTCCTCCTCCTCCTCCTCCTCCTCCTCCACCTCCTCCTCCACCTCCTTCTCCCCTACAACTTATGGTGGTGGTGGTGGAAAACAAACCCAGCAGCCTCCCCGCCGCCGGCCGCCTCTGCGGCCTCGAGGCTCCGGAGCTCGTCCGCGCCGGGCGCCTCGAGGGCCGCGGCGCGCGGGCGAGGCGGGCTGGCGGCGCGGCGGGGCGGCGGCACCGCGGCCCGCCAGGCGCAGGCCGCCGTGGGCGCGGAGGGGTCCTCGGCTGCGCACGGGGCCGGGCGCAGCGCCATCGGGCCGTCGGCGGCCGTGGCCCCGCCCGCCGCGACGGAGTGTTCAGCTGCACACGGAGCCTGGCGCGGCGGCGCCTGGGCCGCAGGGGCCGCCGCGGCCGTCGCGGCAGCCGGCCCCTTGCCGTACTTGAACTCGCAGGCTTTGACGCGGTCCTCCTTGGAGGCGGACTCGGGCAGGGGCTTGTGGCGGTGCCCGTACAGCGTCTCCGCGTGTGCGTTGCCCATATCCCGCATGCGCGCGAGCTCGTCGGGGCCCCAGAGGTAGGTGCCGCTGCAGCCCTTCACCACGGAGATGTGGGTGCCTACCGCCCTGTGCACGTCGGAACATCGAACGCAGACGAACACGCCCAGGTTGACGCTCGCCCAGCAAGTGTCTGCGGCGGCGCACTCTGCGCACCGCGAGTTTTTGCCCTGCATCCGCAGGGCCTTCAGCATCTGGTGGTGCTCCTGGTCGAGGCGGTCGATCTCGTGTTTGGGGTACCAGTTCCCCAACTTGCTCTTCCACATCTGAGTCGACGCCATGACTGGTGCGGGTGGAACGGTGGAACGAGGGAAACGCTTAATCGAGCGCTGGGGCGGCGGCTCGAACTTCGTAGCCAAAAGTTATCCGTAGCCAACATCCCCCTGTATGGAGGGGGAGGCGGCGCGGCGAGGTCCACGTGGAGGTCTGGTCTGCTCGCGAGCCGCGAGGCCCTCTTGCACGCCGCCTCGGCCAAGCGCTGCTTGCAGAGGCAACTTGCCGAGACGTTCTACAATATTCTGGCTCTGAGGAAGAAGCGCTCGGTTCTTTAGAGGCCTCCTGGGCTTCGTGGGCCTTGGAAACGATAGGGGCGTTTTTGTTACAGGTGCCGTTCTGCTGTTTTTGTTGCCGGTTCTGGCGCCATGTGTCTGCTGGTTTGGTCGCCGTTGTTTTCCGGTTCCGCTGTGGCTCCGATTCCTCGGAGCCGTTGTTGTTGCCGTTTCTGGCCGCCGTTTTGTTTTGCCGCTTCCAGGTTCAAGAGACACTTTTCGACAACGGATAAAAAGAGGCCCTGCCGCTTCCGGGGCCCAAACATGCCCAGCGCTGCTTGCAGACGGGGGGCTTCCCGAATGTTGTATTATATTATGGCTCTAAAGAAAAACTGCTCGGGTCTTTCGACGCCTCCTAGATGGGGTCGGAGTAGATGGGGTCGGAAGATCGCGCCGCATCGGCGATGCATCGGCGACGCACCTGCGATGCATCGTCGACGTCGGCGATGCATCGGCGACGCCGACATGAAGCACATCGGGCTGCACATCGAGCCGCATCGGCGATGCATCGGCGATGCGGCGCGACCATCCGTCCCCATCTACTCAGAACCCACGCAGGAGGCCTTGCCCTGCACCTCCACCTTGCGTACTTGCCGACCTCCGTGGAAGTCGCGGAAGAATGCATCGGAACTCACCTGGAAGCCGTACGCAATTCTGGAAAACAGACATAGATCACATCGGAACATGAGCGGGGGGTCAGGGCAAGAAGGTCCCGAAAACTGGGGAGGGCACTCCGACCCCATCCGGGAGTCGGCGGCAAGAGAGTGGGGAAGTGAGACGGAGAAGGCCTTCCCAGAAGGCGGCGGGACTTCTCAGAAACCCTCGCGCATGCTGAACAGTGTTGAACGTCGTCGTGGAAGGCTCCGAAAACTTCTCGGAAGGCCAGGGGACTGGCAAACCTTCGGAGAAGGCCCGCCCCTTCTCACTTCACCCCCCGCCGAATCAAGGAGGCCTGGAGTTAAGTCGGGCGTCCCCCTACAGGGGGATTTTGAGCGAAAAATTGAAAATACCACCAAACTAATCAAAACATCTTAAGAAATAGTCAAGAAATGGTCCCCATACTATTTTTGACTATTTTTGAAAATCCCTCCTTTAGAAGGACATGCCCTTAGTGGGCCCCGGACACGGCAGGGCCGTTTTTTTCGCCGTTTCCGAAGAAGCGTCCCTTGAAAATGGAGACGGCAAGAAAACGGCAACCGGAAAAAGGCAACAAGAACGGCTCCAGGATTGGAACCGGAGCGGGAACCCAGAAAAGAACGGCGACGGAACCGGTGAAAAAAACAGTGTCGGAACCGGCAAACAAACGGCAAAGCTGAACCAGTAAAAAAACGGCCCTGTCGTTTCCAGGGCCCACTGAGCCCCAGACGGCCCAAGAGGCCTGCAAAGCGCCCCAAGGGCCCTCCAGGATTTTTCCCACGAGAGCCCCAAAAGGCAAAATCCATGGATTCCACATACGTTTGTAACAGATTTTGGCGTTCTTGCCTCTTCCGCTTTCCCACGCGCCAAGACGGCCCAAGAGGCGCCCAAGATCGCCCCGAGACGGCCCAAAAGGCCCCCAAGAGGGCCCCCTAACGGCCGAAGGCAGGCCCGGCGTCAGCCCAGAGCCTTCGGGCGTCCTCGTCGACGCCAAAGGGCTCTCCAGCCTCGGGGGCTGCCCCCCCGCAGCCGCGCCCCGCCGGCAAGCACTCGTGGGCACGCGGCGGAGCCTCCGAGGGAGAAGCCTCGCCACCGCCACGGACGGCTCGCCGTCGCCCTCGCCATCGCTCGGACGGCCACTCCGCGTGCGTGTTTGGATTTCGTGCGCGTGTGCACGTCGGTCGGAAGAAGTGAGTAGAGGCATGGAGTAGGAAGGCGGATATATATATATATATGTATATAGTAGGTTGGGTCCAGGTGCCTCCAGAGAATGACAAAACACAGCAAAAGCATGTCGATTCTTGAAGTAGGAAGGCGCTTGAGATAGATTGGGATCTGGGAATCCAAAAATACCGACTTTCAACGACCGGCGTGTATGTTTCTCCCACCGTCAAGCGAAGCCGTTCCCTCAACACACCCAAAGAAGGAATCGAACAGGGTAGGGCTGTGCAGTGAACGACCAAGGCCGTTTAGCAAACGCCAAGAATCCAGGTGGTTGATCTTCCCTTAAATTCTGTCGCAAGATGATCCAGCTTGCTTCTCGATGGCCCTCGCCAAGAACAAAAAATGCACACGTCCGAGCCATGCCAAGGCTCGAGGCGGCCGCGTGCGCGTCAGGGGACGCTGCTCCGAAGGCGGCCCTGTAGGATCAGGGGCGCTGCTGGCCCGATTGCCACAATAAGACCTGCCAATTGAGGGCCCTGCTCTGTTCCTTTTGGTGGTCAACACGTCTTGTCCGCCCCTCTCTGCGGTCTGTGTCCGGAGACCTCGCGGCGATGGCAGCAGAAGGAGGGGCGAGAAGTGCAGAGGGGGAACGTGCATCGGGGAACCTGACGGAGCATCGGCCTTCGGAGAGGGCGGGTGCGAGGCAGAGATGTGCATACATCCCAAGCCCGGGGCAGCGATCTCCCAAGAGCACAGGGTTAGGGGGAACGATAGGAAGGATCTTGCTCAGATTGAGCAGGGACCGACCGTCCCGGCATTCCTATCGTCATACCACGAAATGTTCTTAGAACCAAAAAAATGTTCTTAGAGCATGAGCCCGATGTGATAAAACAATACAGCCCCAGCCAGAGATTTTCTAAGAACATTTCGTGGGAACCACAAAAGGTTCTTAGAACATTGTTGCGTAGGGCTATAGGCGAGCCGGGACGCTTCGCCACTGCTTGAAGGAGGGATCTTGCTCAGAGTGGGAACCGTCGAGCTGCCATCCACGATGCATCGCCCATCCATCGGCGAGCGAGGCGGCCGACAGGGAAAAACCGCCCGTTCCTGGGCGGGCTGCGCCTGCAGGCCCCCACCGGCGATGCATGGGCGATTGGGGGTCGATGCACCCCCCCTAGAGTTAAGTCGGGCCTGCCCCCCTACAGGGGGATTCGGCGAAAAATAAAAATGCACCAAAATCCAAAAATAGTCTGGGGTCAATGTTTTGAAAATGATTTGACCTTTTTGGTGTACGTTTGGCGTATTTCCAATTTTTCGTCGAAAATCCCCCTGTAGGGGGACAGGCCCGACTTAACCCTAGAGCCTATTCCCCCCATGATCCTCGCCGTGCGGCTTGCATGTCATAGCTTGGGTCTCTGGCGGCCGCTCAGGACGACCCAGACACCTCCAGGCGCCTCTCGGCGAGGCGCAGCTGCCGGAGAGCATCCCGAGGCGGAGGAACCTCCAGGAGCCACCCCCCAAAGAGCCCATCCCGCCCTGACGCTGTGTCTGTGCAAGAGATTGCCAACAACCTCCCAGGGGTCCCAACCACTCGCCCGGGGGAAGGCTTCTCGCTCATGGTCCATGCTAAGTGGTCCCCAGAGCCAAAGGAGAAGACTCCTTGACTCTTGACGCCGATTCGATGCAGTGGTGAGGAGCGGGATTCGATACCTTTGGCCTGGTGGGGATGGGGCTAGGCTTCACAGTACACACGAAAGGCGGCAAGAGGCGGCGACAGGAGCATCATCGGCGGCGACCCAGGATGGGGAGGGAAACGAGAAGGGGCGGGCCTTCTCAGGAGGCTCGTAAGTCCCCCAGCCGATTGAGTTTTTCAGGGCGTCCCTGAAGACACAGAGAAACCCTCAGAAGGCGCGGGGGCTAATGAGAAGTCCCGCCGCCTACTCAGAAGGCGTCGCCGAAAACACAGAAAAACCCTCAGACGGCGCGGGGGCTTCTGTGAAGGCCCGCCGCCCACTCAGAAGGCGTCCCCGAAGACACAGAAAAACCCTCAAAGGCCCCCTCGCTCGCCGCCGAGATCAGCGGAGGCCGGCGCCAGGCTGGGGCCGCGGCGGACATCGCGGGAACCTGTGGGGATGGGGAGTCGACACCATAGGCCCGGTGGGGATAGCTCAGTAAGAACAAAAAACACCATAAACAGAAAAACTGTTGGCGCCTCGCGCGGGTTTCTTGGATCTGCGCTGGACCCCCTCCATGGGCGGCGCCAGAGGCGCCGCCTGGGGGGGGGGGGGCCAGACTCCGATCTAAGAAATCCGCGCGGAGCGCCAAAAGTGTATGTGTATGGCGTTTTTCCTTCTTCAATCTTCGATCCTCGATGAGATATGGATACCTCTTCCTCCTGTGGGAAAACCGAAAGGTACCGACACCGCTACTCCCTGGACTTCTCCAAGGGTATGATCTGACTCGGATTTCGAGGCGAATCCAGCGGTGGCGACGAGGGCCTCCGACTAGGCCCAAAAAGGGGAAAACGGGCGAAGGACAGCGGTATGGGTACCTCTTGCTCCTCTGGTTGATCCGCGATGAGATCTGGGCACCTCTTCCTCCTCTGCGGCGTCTGCTCTTCCTCGATTCATCGACAAAGCGGCGAGAGGATTGGCGGCGCGCACAAGGGGGTGGAGGGAGGGGGGAGGGCTTCTTGGAAGGAGGTGGCTTCTTGGGAGGCGCCGGCCCTGCATCTGTAGATGAGGCCCGCGCCTTCTAAGAAGTGCTTCCAAGACGCCCTTCCCCCTCCCCCCACCGGCCCCTCTGCGCGTGGCCGAGAGGAGAGCAGCGAAGGCCGGCGCCGAGCTGGGGCCGCGGCGGACATCGAGGGCACCGGGATGCGCGTCGCGGCGCCGCCGGGGCCGCGCGTCCCGGCGCCCGCGCCTGCCGAGGGGCGGGCAAAAGGGGGCCCTCGCCGCGGCGCGCCGCGGCACGCCGAGGACGACGACGACGACGACGACGACGACGACGACGACGACGACGACCACCATGCACGACGACGACGACGACGACGAAGACGACCACGACGACGACCACGATGATCACGACGACGACCACGTTGACAAGGACGAGGACGAGG